ACGAGTACTCTTAAATGAGAAGGAAATCGGTTTTGCCTCTCATACACGTGGACTCCTAATTACCAAATCACATTTCACGTATTCATGAGTAACCAATTAACCTAGTCAAAATCCTCATATTCTCTTATTTAACCCAATTTCTATGAAAGTTTAAGGATCCATAACACACAATAAATAAATAAATAAATAGAGCAATAAAATTTTAAAACCAAAATCAAAAGTACATAGTTAATAGTTACAATAACCTGAAAAAAATAATGTGCCGTGTGTATAAAATTGCGAACAAAAAGAAAAAAGCAAGGGAAAAGGATAAACACCGGTTGAAAAAAGACGGGGTTCAAACTTGCCCACCAAGAAAATTGGCTTTATTTGCTATATCATCGTGACATATAAGGTTTTGTAACACTACCACATACGTGCTACATCACCTTTTACCACAAAAATGTGGTTTCTTGCCATACCAAATGAGTAATGTCACACTCCTTAATTTCTTTTCAAAACATCATTTTTAATAATAAAAACATAACATTTCATTACTTAAAAAAAATATTACATTACTTAAAAAAACCCTAAAATCTTAGAAAAAAACTTGACAACTAAAACCTATAACCTTAAAAAAAACACACATGAAACAATTAAAAACTTAGTAAAAAAACTAGAAAATTTAAACCTACTTATTAGCATAACATTTTTTGAGGTCGGCTTTCATTGCCAAAGAAATTTTAAGCTATTCCCAGGTTATCTGCGATGTGTTCATTGTTAGTATTCTCAAGTCGCTATCTCTTTGTTTCCGAAGCTCTCTTTCGGAAGTACGTTACAAAATTTTGTCCATTCTATCTTTTATACTGTTCATAACGGTCCCCATTTCTTTTAACTCATCTGAATCTGATGCTTTGACTTTGCCTTTGTTGTTCTTTGTTTCTTCCCATTGACCGAGAAGGTGGTGAAACTTGAATAGGTTCATCTTCGTTGAGGTCGAACTGAACACGCACATCAAATGTAGTGTGGTTGGATTCAGATGTTCTTGAGCGTTTTGAACCATTGTCGATATGCTCGCCATATGCTTTGTTGTTTGCCATTTCTTGTTATCTTTAAAAGATTCCAAACTTCAAGAAACTTGAAAGCCTTCATGTTTTCTTTTTGGTACACTTTTAACGCTTTTTGCAAAATCACATCATCGTTTTCTCCGCTTTTCCATTGATGTTTCATGTTGTTATACAAATCATTAAACAATAAGAGTCCCTTGTTCATCTTCCCCCATTTCGAGTACACTTGGTGTACTCGAAACCATACCACCATAGTGATAATACGGGGACGAATAAATCAGTTGATCATACAAAGGTCTTAGGGATATGATGTTTATAGTAGGCGTTTTTTCGTTGGTAGGCATTTCGGAAGAAGAAATGTTGAGGGGTTTTGAAAAAAGATGGTAAAATGTAAAAATAATGTGAGTGAGGTTTGATGAAAAAAAGATATATATATATATATATATATATATATATATATATATATATATATATATATGGTTATTTTTTTAAATTACTATTCAAACAGTCAAAAAGTCCACAACCCAATAAAAAAACATGACCAAATTTAGCAACACTGCAACTAAATCACACACAAGGGGTGGTGTTCCGTTGTCATGGTGGTGAGACTGCACCCGAAGGTCGCACAACTCTCCCAAGCCTAATATCTTTAGTCTTTAATTTAATATAAAATTCTTTATCCTTCCTAATAAAACAAAGAGTGGCTTTCCAAAAACGCCCAAAATTATATATATCATACATACTTATAAAGCTAGCATTTTTTCTTGAATCTCATGCATTTGAAACCCCCATTCTTTTTTCATTGCACCACATTCATTTGAAACTCCTATGACTTTTCGATTTCTTTATAATAATAATAATTATAATTTGGTAGTTAGGTTAAATAAATATCAAATCTAAAGTGTATTCATATATAAACTAAATTTCAATATTAAAATAATATCTTTAATTCTACTTATAGCATTATGTTTTTTAACTTTTAACATATTATACTTAATTTATTAGTTTTAATATATTGTTGGATGTAAACCATTATCATTTTAAAGGTATAATTTTTGAACAATTTGTATAAAATACTTAAATTATTAATTAAAATATAACATTATAGGCTCAACTTAAATATAAATTTTATTTAACATAAACAACCCAAAGATTATTTTATAAATAGGTAAAAGTGATAAATTGTAGTGTCTTTCTAATAATGATTGTAAATTTTTGAACAATTTATATAAAATACTTAAATTATTAATTAAAATATAACATTATAGGCTCAACTTAAATATAAATTTTATTTAACTTAAACAACCCAAAGATTATTTTATAAATAGTTAAAAGTGATAAATTATAGTGTCTTTATAATAATGACTGTAAGTTGGTTAATAAGGTTAAATAAATATCAACCTAAAGTGTAATCATAAATAGACTAAATTTCAAATTTAAAATAATATATTTACTTCTATTTATAAAGTTATATCTTTAAATTTGAACATATTATATATAATTTATTAGATTTAAAATGTTGTTGCATGTAAGTCATTATCAGTTTAAAGCTAAAATTTTTGAACAGTTTGGACAAAATACTTAAATTGTTAATTTAAATATAACATTACAGTGTCAACTTAAATATAAATTTCAGTTTCACTAAAAAAACCAAATAATATTTTGTAAATAGTTAAAAATGATAAATTATAGTGATAAATGCAAAAAACTAAATTGTAATATCAGTTTAACTAAAATATTTCCTAAATATATTTATATAATCGTTAAAAATTTTCAAATAAGTAACTTAAAATAACTTATAATAACAATAGTTAAAACTAACTCTATATAAATGATTATATTGTTACCTTTAAAATCAAAAAATAATGTTTGATGTTTTAAATAATTATAATAATAGAAATTAAAACATTAAGCAAATATATTTTAAAAAATTAGTTAAAAATAGCAACTATAAATAATATTAAATCATATATAATATTTAATTTTATCGATGTGTAACTCGCGAGTAGAAGTTATTCAAACGTTTGAGATTATGACGTTATGATAGATTTATATATTATCATATAATTCAAAATAGTCAATATATTATATCAAATTAATATACAAATTATTATATCAAATTTAACAACAACATTGGTGTTATATTTTAAAATATATATATTTGTAAAGACTTCAACTATATAAGTATTTCTGCGCATTACAATGTCAACTCAAATATAAATTTCATTTCCATTTAAAAAAACTCAAGAATATTTTATAAATAGTTAAAAGTAATAAATTATAGTGATAAAAACAAAAACTAAATTGTAATTTCAATTTAACTAAAATATTTCTTAAATATATTTTTATAATCGTTAAAAGCTTCAAAATAAGTAACTTAAAATAACTTACAATAACAATAGTTAAAAACAACTCTATATAAATGATTATATTGTTTGCTTTAAAATAAAAAAAATAATGTTTGATGTTTTAAATAATTATAATGATAGAAATTAAAACATTAAGCAAATAAATTTTAAAAAATTAATTAACAATAAAAACAATTATAAATAACAACAAATCATATATTATAATTAATTTTATTCATATATAACTCGCGGGTAGAATTCATCCAAACGATTGAGATTATAAAGTTATAATAAATGTATATATTATCATATAATTCAAAATAATCAATATATTATATAAATTTAATATATACAAATTATTATATCAAATTTAAGAACAACGTTATTGTTATATTCAAAAAATCATATATATGTAAAGACTTCAACTATATAGGTGTTTCTGTGCAACGCGCGAGTATTCGCCTGGTTTATATATAATGAATAACAAGCAATTTTTATATTATTTATTTTCCATAAAATACTCCATATTTGATAATCAATTTTATATTATTAATATTATTTATTTATTTGAGTAGTATTTTTTTTTCTTGTTATATGGTTGACATTTCATTATATAAAATAATTTTAATATGAGCTCATAACTAAATATATGATTATTTAAATAAAATATAAATGTTTGTAATTTTTCATATATATGGAAGTTAAGAAATTGCTTGATAAGGTTTAAGATCTACATAAACCTAGTTTTTTTTTCCTTACTTATCAAATTCATTTTTATTTAACTAAATATAATAATATTATTAGTTTTTGGTTTGATGACTTGATCAGTGGCCATAAACATTTACTCGCAATAAAGATTTACATCTACATTATTGAACAAAACCTCGAGCAAGAATTAATACTCTCACATATTTAATGGTTAGTATTTGGTAATTACAGTTGACACTAACTTAAATTAATCACGCGAACAATAAATTTTTATCATAAGTATACATCGGAGGTTCTACATAGCAAATGAAGTACCTGTTTTAATGCGAGTTCACGATAAATTAGACTTTTATATAGAGGTAGATTTCATATATACGGTCATTTTTTGAATAACTAAAAAAGAATAATTGATAATTGGAAAGTCAATTTCTTTATTTTATTATTAACATATTTGTGGACCTAATATATCATTTTTGTTAATTATTAATGATAATGATCTTGATCTATCCGTCATGACAAGGAACTTTCTCCGTCATTTCCGTGGTAGTTACTTCATCCCAATCGTGACGTAATGGTCTTATAATCCAATCGATATTTAAACATAAATCTATAACAATATCCTAAATTAAATGCCAAAAAAAATAAAAAGAAAACGAAAAAAAGAAAAAAGAAAAGAAAAGAACAAATGAAACCCCACACGGTTTTCATCGAAGCTACCTTTGCTTGGGCAGAAAGCACAAGGGTATAATCGTCGATTCACCTTCGGTCTCCGGAGTCTTCTAGAATCTTACTTCAAGTCTTCTACTCTTCCCGTTTAAATCTAACTCACGACAACACGATCCTCTTACGCAAATCATAAATTACTTTGATTAACCTAAATTCACATACATCAAGATCAATGGAGTGGAGTGACAACAACATGGAGTGGAGTGACAGTAACCGTGGTAGCAACAATCGTGGCCGTGGACGCGGCCGTGGTCGGAACTATGGAGGCGGAGATGGTGGCGGTCGGAGTTATGGAGTCTCACAAGATGGTGGCGGTCGCAACTATGGTGGCAGAGGTGGAGATGGTGGCGGTCGCAATAACGGTGGCAGAGGCGGAGATGGTGGCGGTCGCAACTATGGTGGCGGTCGCAATAACGGTGGCAGAGGCGGAGAAGGTGGTGGAACTGGTGCTGGTTACTATCCCCGTGGTGGTGGCCGAGGTAGAACTAACCAACAGCAGTACAGTAATCAACATCAGGAACAGTACGGGCGGGGTAGGGGTAGAGTATCTGACGGCGGTGGTCGCGGCGGAGGTGGTGGTCAACAGTCGTACTGGACTCCTGCTAGGCAGAATGCGGATCGGGTACCAGATCATCCCGGTGGCGATCGAGAAGCAAAACGTAGTCCTGTTGGATCTGGTCAACCAGTCGAGTCTCCATCTCAGGCTCTCACTCATACTCAGAACCGCGTTGCTGGTACGTATTCTATATCGGAAATCCCTTTTAGGTTATTCATCCATTAAAGAACTTACTCTGTTTCAATCGTTGATAAATTTTGTTTCTTTTTGATGAATATGTTTGCTTTGATTGAGATTTTAAGTTGACTGATCACTGTTTTCGTATTGAAAGTCTATTATCTGTACTCAATTTGATATATCATACTTGCAAAATCTCTCAATTAACCTAAGAATTCACGATCGTATTTTGTGATGCGATCTCAATTTTTCTCTCATGTGTTTAAGCTTGAAAACCATTATATGTCATAGCTCCATGTCTATGGTAAAATTAACAAAACGACGACACTTTGTCGCCAATCCCTATCTGTTACTCCATTCAGATTCTTTATTGTTTTGAATTTTCAGACCTTCAGATTCAGGAAGTCACCAATCGTGTATCACCTTCAAATGACGATGGAGAACATGCTAATGTGCCAATTAAGCGTCCTGACCATGGCACACATGCCATGAGATTAGTGAAGCTTCTTGTGAACCATTTTCCTGTGAACTTCATTCCATCAAAGACGATACTACGTTACGATGTTGATGTCAAACATGATGTCCCTTCTTCAAGTCGCTCTGCAAAAAAATCAATTCCAAAAGCAGAGCTTCGATTGATCCAACAGAAGCTCTGTTCTGATAACCCTAATCAATTCCCCCTACTCCAAACTGCATACGATGGTGAAAAAAACATCTACAGTGCAATTTCATTACCTGAGGGGATTTACAATGTTCGACTAAATGGTCGTTCTTACTCATGCTCCATCAAATATGGAAACGAGTTAGCTCTTTCAAAGCTTCAAGATTTCTTGAAAGGAAACTCCACGCAGATCCCACGTGATGTGTTGCAAGCTCTTGATGTAGTAATGAAAGCAAATCTTTTCAGGGAAAAGGTTTCAGTTGGAAGAGGTATGTATCCACGTGTCCACAGACAAGAAGATGACCTTGGTTATGGTATTGCAGCATTTAGAGGCTCTCAACAAAGCCTAAAGCTTACTAAAAATGGACTAGTCATGTGTTTGGACTATTCTGCCATTCCTTTCCGCAAAAGAATGCCTGTTATTGACTTTCTCATGGAGTCCATTCCCAACATTCGTGATGTTAGTGAGATTGGAAGATTTGGGAACATTGTTGTTAAAGCGCTGACTGGATTAAGAGTCAGTGTGACTCATCGTCGTACAAATCAAAAGTATGTTGTGTCTGGATTAACAGAAAAACCCACAAAGGATATTTCCTTTGTTCTTGAAGATCTTGAAGGGAAGAAAGAACCCCAAGTTGTCATGCTTACAGATTACTTCAGAGAAAAATGGGGGAAAGAGATTAAGCATAAGGGTATTCCTTGTTTGAATTTGGGAACTAGTAAGAAGCAAAATTATGTCCCTATGGAATTTTGTTTTTTGGCTGAGGATAAAAGATATCCAAAGGAGCAATTGGGTAAAGAAGCTGCTAGAATACTCAAAGATTTATCTCTTCTCAATCCGAATACTCGTAGGAATGAGATAAGAAGCATGGTTCGTGACGAATATGCACCTGGCAAAAACGGGTATTTATTATTATTATTTTTTTTAATTCTACGGAATTACCGATTCCATTCCTTTCGGCTTTTTCTGATTCCATCTTTTTGTATTTTGTAGTGCCAATTCCATCAAGCATTTTGATGTGGAAGTCGGAATGAGCATGACGGAAGTAGACGGGCGAGTGATGGCCCCACCACAGCTCAAACTCGGTTCCTTAAACGGAAAAACAATGACAACAACAGTTGACAAAATGAAATGTCATTGGAATCTTCTCCAAGGAAGAACATTAACCCAAGGGAAATCTTGCGAAAGGTGGGCCCTAATAAACTTCAACCGTGACAATCGTCAAATGAACCAACAAGTCGATTATTTCATCGGTAAATTAATCAACAAATGTCACAGCATCGGAATCCAAATGGAAGACCCGCTCTTCGTCCACCACACCACCATGAGAGAATTCTCAGACGTAAACCGAATCGATCGTCTTCTCAAACGAGTCACGGAAGATTCTAGAAGGTCCACCAAAGAACGCCTCCAGTTAATCGTCTGTGTTATGTCAGACAAAAACGACGGCTACAAATACCTCAAATGGGTATCCGAAACCCAAATCGGTGTCATCACACAATGTTGTTTATCCTTCAACGCCTTCAAAGCAAACGATCAGTTTCTCGCAAATTTAGGAATGAAAATCAACGCGAAATTAGGCGGAAGCAATGTGGAGTTGATCGAAAAGTTCCCTTGTTTCAACGGTCCGGATCATTTCATGTTCATCGGAGCCGACGTAAACCACCCCGCTCCGTCCAACGAATCCTCGCCATCTGTCGCCGCCGTCGTCGGCTCCGTCAACCCCACCGCCACCCGCTACGCCGCCCGCGTCTCCCCCCAAACCCACCGCAAAGAAGAAATCGTCAACTTCGGAAGCCTATGTGTTGACCTAGTCAACACTTATTACAACATAAACGGAACAAAACCTAACAAGATTATCGTTTTTCGCGATGGTGTAAGCGATGGACAATTCGACATGGTTTTGAACAAAGAAATGGTGGATATGAAAAAAGCGCTTTACGACAAAAGCTATCGACCCGCGATTACATTTGTGATCGCGCAAAAACGACACACGACGCGGTTGTTTCTAAACAACGGGAATGAGGTCGGGAATGTTCCACCGGGGACGGTTGTCGACACTACAATTGTTCAACCTTTTGAGTTTGATTTCTATCTTTGTTCTCATTTTGGTGGAATGGGAACGAGTAAGCCGTGTCATTACTCTGTGATTTGGGATGAGATTGGGTTTTCGTCTGATGAGATGCAGAAGTTGGTGTACCATTTGTGTTATGTGTTTGCGCGGTGTACGAAGCCGGTGTCGCTGGTTCCGCCGGTGTATTATGCGGATCTTGTCGCGTACCGCGGTCGGATGTTTCAGGAGGTGGCGGCGGAATCGGAATCCGGGACTCCGGGGTCGGTTCCGGCGTCGTTTGATCGGTTCTTTTATACCGTGGAGCAGAATTTGAAGGATGCGATGTTTTTTGTGTAAGGGTTGAAGGGTCGAAGTGCCGATACGCAGGTCAAACCTCCTTGCCTTTTATGGAATTAAGGAGTTTGTGCGTGAATCTAATGCATTTCGTGTTTTTTTTTTTTTTTTTTTTTTTTTTTTGGTTTGGGTTTAATTTACTTTTGTTATGTCTTAAGTGTGTTAAAAAATATGAAGTCTTGTGTGGTCTTTGATGTTTTGCCTTTGAAGGGTGAAGTTTTAGTTCGAGTCATATGTTATGTTCTATCTACTTATGAATGTTTTAAAGCTGTGTGTTTTTGTTTTGGTTTTAATTTTAATGTTGAATCCTTTTACTTTGGTTATTGGCTCATTGTATTTTAACATTATGTTTTACCTATTAGAGTTGAATCCTTTTTACTTCGGACTTTAAAATGTGTATTAAGTTGGTTTTGGAAGCTGGTTATTAGTCTTAAATCAGATGAATATTCTTGGTTTACAGCTGGATTTTGTAATTTCTTGTGGTAGTTAAACATAATTGAATTGAATATATTTTTTTAAATATATTCAAGCCTTCCAAATTCGAATGGGCCACGGGAAACGGCGAAGACCGAAAGAGTGCGACCTCTAAAACTATCTAGATTCTCTAGCTTGGCTGCTAGAATCGGGCGCAAAAGATCACTTTAGTCGTTGGAATAGTCGTTTAATAGTGGCATTTTTGTACGAGAGTAAAGTAATTTGTAATTTTGTATAATAAAAACACAAATAAAATATTTAAAAAAAAATATATTTTAAAATGTTTTGGATAAAAAATACAAATAAAAATATCACCTTCCTATAACATATTTTTTAAAAATGTTTTGATTGATATTCCGACTTATGTTTTTTGTTCATAAACTTAATATGATGTTTTTGACTTTTGTATTTTTTATTTTACTTAAGAAGAGGGAATCATGGTATAAAAGTAAGCATATTTTTTTTTAAATGTTTTGGATAAAAAAACATAAATAAAAATATCACCTTCCTATAAAATATTTGCTTCACCAGCTTGTATTGTATTTTCAAATTTACTCATATAAGAGTTGGAAAAACTTGTTTTATCAAACAACTACCATTATAAGATCACTTATGTATCTTTCATCACTCACTTTTTTTTATCACGTTATCGAAAGCCAGAAAATAATCACATTTTATTACTTTTTATTTTTATTTTAAAATAAAATTAAGTTAATTTTAAAGTATAATACAAAAAATAAATAGAATTAATTAAAAATGATTAATAAACAAAAAAATTAATTAAAATAAAAATATTTCATTACTTAAAAATAAAAATTACATAATAAAATTTAGAAAACATAATTAAAATTACATAATAAAAGTAATAAACCATTATTAAAACAATACATCACTTTGAATTGCCGCCCTCGTTATCTGAGTCCTCACTCGAGTTCTCGACGAACATATTTGAATCTTTATCTGATTCGTCAAACAAATCATCGTGCCAAAACTCGACCTCAGGCGATATGTGAGCCCCGTAAATATGCTCCACCAAATCTACACGAAGGGCATAAATGTCGCGAACATGTGTTTCTCTTCTTTTGCTCTATACTCTTGCGTACCAACAACTACTCCTTGTAAGACCCTTTTTTCTAGAATAGATTAGTTGATGACTCAGAGGGGCCAAATGTAAGATTTTTAGGAAAACTCTAGTGCTAAGATGTGGTGAATGGAGCACCACGATGCGAAATGTGAATTGCATGAAACACACGTTTTGGATGGCTTCCACGACGTGGCAAGAGGCAGGCCACAACATAGGATTGCTGATAGTCCCAGTGTTTCTTCCATATTTACGCACCTAATCTCAAGGATTAGGGCATCCTCTTCAGTCTCCAACCCTTCTTCCACGAAAACATAGCCTTCATGGTTGTTTAGGAGCTTGTTTGCTTGATTAAAGGCCTTGTTCTTGGATTTTGGTAGAGCTTGAGCAATGAGAAAGATCATTTTGGTGCAAGGGAGCAAGGGACCAACTTGGAATCATCACCCCCTTCATATTTCTGAGTTGTTGGAGGCATAAAACTCTCATCTTGACCTTTGTTCTTCTTAATGCAAGTTCAAGTTCATTTTTTTAATCATTTGGTCTCTTCCTTGGATGCTCTTGGAGTTTGAAGAACTCCAGAGTTTTTGATAGCCTTCTAAGCTCCATATGATTACGATGAAAAAGAAAAAGAGACATGTTTGGAGTACCTTGTGACCATGCTCAAGATATGGCCTCATTAAGGACTTATTGGATTAAGAAGCATAGATTTTTCCTTGTTGTGGAGTCATAATGGATAAAGTTGGAAACTTTATCCATTAAATTGTTGAAATATAATAGATTTGAAGTTATGGGTTTAGATGTGTAAGGATTAAGCACTTAATGAAGAATATGACAATCTTCCCACAATGTGGTGGTTCTCTGCTTCGCGACTATTTTTTCCAGTTATTCCCACAATGTGGCCAAGAGGTATCCATGTCGTGGTGAGCGTGGACTTGGTTGATTGATGACTTTTGTTGACCGTTGACTTTCGAATAGTTAACTTTGCGTCAAACTTGAATGACTTGGGTTATTGATTAAGGATTCATCTGTATTTGGTGCCAATCGGGTCGTGGGAGTGATCAATATAGGGAGTGAGGGTGTTGTTGTATTTCATTGGGTTTTCGATTCAGGTGAGTTTCCTCACTATATTACCTATATCATAATAAGGTGAATGCTAGACATCCTGAGTCTTGTTGCAGATTGTATTTCTTTATGCCTTTTGAAGGAGTTAAAGGAGCTTGAGGTTACTTAGCCTGAAGAGGAGGTATTGGATCTAGAACCTCTACTCATTTTGCAAGAAATGTGAGGTATCAAGTTCTTATATTGATTGCTATATGTTCAGATCTCATTTTGGTTAAATAGTTATGTTTTTAGCCATTTTTTGGATGGATGTTGGGATTAGGACGTCCCAATGGCTTATTCTTTCATATCCAAGGTCCTTGTGGACTCCTTTGGCATAAAGGTGCCAACTTTATGGAGTTTAGGGGGCTCATGTATCCATTAAGTCCTTCATTAAGTCCTTTTTGAGTATGGAGCTTCTTAGGGTCATGCATGGACGTAAAGTTAGCAACTTTACGTGGTATTTCAACTAAAATAGATCAGATCTATATGCAAACACTTTTGATTTAAACTTTTGAAATGATTAGCTTATATTTATGAGACTAGATCTCATAATAGAATTATAAATTAAATATAAATGTTTTATAAATAACAAGTTCTATATACAAACCCTTTTTATTTAAACTTGTTTTGAATCAAACTTATCTAAGACATAATATCTTTAATATATAAATGAAATACACATATTCCAACTTTAAGACAAATAATTTAGTTTATTTGACATATGTGAATCTTATTTGATATATGTGAATCTTATTTATATATAAAGATCCTAATGTTATTTTCAATAAACTGTAGAGAAAATACTTATTAAGGAACTAGACACTGTGATGTATGATTTCATTTTCAATGAATGTCTAAGATTTATCATAAGATATCAAATCAACTTTGTTAACAATCATAGTAGTTATAATTATATTTTACATATTAAAATATAATTGTGAAATATTTTTTGAAGTTTTAAAATATAAAGTTGAGATACAAGCTAGTAATACCATCTAAAGCCTTAGTGATAATAAATGATGAACCAAACCTTACTAGATAAAGTTTACTTTCTAATTAGTAGAAATATCCCCCTTTATGCTTTTGGTATTTTACCTTAATCACTATCAATTGTATTTTGAATACAAACACCAACTAATTAGATGTATGTAGAGTATTCTAAAAGTGCATTTAGATTGTTATATATAAACCCAACAAGAATAAGTTTTTTTTATTCCTTTGAAAGGTGAGTCGACAGAAAGCAAGATTCTAATGACAAAGCAAGTGGGAGGCACATGGAACTTGAATCATCTCAAGAGCCATAGCAATAGTTGGTATTAGTTTCAATAAGGAATTGTTGAACATGAATAATAGCTATTCTTAAACACAAATTGTTTCCATTAGTGTCATCTATGACTTGAGAAATGTGGAATATCTCATTGATGAGTTCTTTTTGATGGTTTTTGGCAAATCCATCAAACTACCAAAATGATATATCAGATCTTGAATATGGTTAATGACTTAGAGTCATGAACATTGAGATGTAATCCATGTATAATAATAAAGTATGGGCTTGATTAATCTTCCTATTTATAGCAAGGCTAAAAGGAGTAAGAGATTCTTGTCGAAAGAACGCATACATGGATATCTATACACATTTAGCAATACTTATTATAAAAGGACTTTCTCATACTCGTATCATTGACTGTGGTCCTTATCATACTCATGGAATTGACTATGATCAAACCTTTTCACAAGTAGATATGATTAGATTAACACATATATTATTTACTATACCTACATATTATTAATATGAGATATAAGAGATAGATTTCAAGAAAAACCGATTTTCTTAATAGACATTTACTAGAAGATATCTATATAGCTTAGCATGGAGATTTTATAATCATAGTTATCCTAACAAAATGCGTAAGGCTTAAGATCTACTTGTGGATATAAAGCAAACATCTCAAAGTTAGAATCCTTATTTTTATATATAAAAACAAAGTGTGCTTTTATTTCAAAATGAAGATAACATCTATATTTATTAAGAACTAATGGGAGCATATTGATATTCCTAATATTGTATGAATGAGACATACTTAATCATGAGAAATTACATTTTGACCAAACCATGATTTTTCACCTTTGCTCGGAATATGTTTCTAAGATGAAAGATTTAGGAATGACAAGATACATTCTTGGAATGTAAAATCTATATAGATAAGTAAAGATAAATGTTAAAGTTTTAAAATGATTATGAATATATTGATAATGTCTTGAAAGCGATCAAGATAGAAGATTCTTTTGGAGGATTCTAGGCATTGTCACATGGCACCATTTTGAGCTAGCCTAAAAAGACCTAACA